ACGTGCGTGGCTGCTGCGTGAGTTCGCGGGTCGCAAGCAGGCCCATAATATTACAAAAAATAACGTCTATGTTTGCGCTTTCTTCAGAGGTTTCGTATAATTATAGGTTATGAGTAATTGTACATTTAGAAGAAACTTTTCGTATTTCTCACAAATTACTCAATTTGTATGTGGGAAAGTTGGCGAGCCTAATCTGCAGCTGCACCCGGCGACACTAGCGCATCCTATAGTAGCAACCTCGAGCTTTGTCCCCGGTTTTGATGGAGAGTTGCCGGGCCCTGCCACTGACCGCGCTGCTGTTTCGCTGGCAGGCTGGTCCTGGGGTTCGCGCACAGTTTTCGACATGCGATTTTCCCTGCAACTCTGCCCCTGGCAGGTATCAGTTGTTGACGGTTTCATCCAATCGGGGGCTTTAACGTCACCATAGTGATGTCGGTATGGTGACGTTGAAGCTTCTGATTGGATGAAACCGTCAATAGCCGATACCACAGTGTTGCACAAATCACAGAACCGACAGCTAGTTCGAAATCATCCGCTGTTTGATGGAGAATTGGCCGGCTGCCCTCAACGGTAGTTCCGATCAATACCACGCAAATGCCTGAGCAGTACCCCACCAAACGGGCCACGGACCGCGCGCGATCTTACCTTCCTCTTCCTTGTCCTATCCTCTCCCCTTCTTACTTACTTACTTACATACACACACTAACATGCACTACACTAGCACATATGCCAGGAGACCGGAGCTTAGAGCTTGTCCGGGTTGGGGCGATGCCCCGCTTGTGAGAGATACTTCATTAGGGAAAACGCCGCTAGTCGGCGGCACGTTGGCGCTGGATCTCGCCGCCTCCGACGCTAAACATGCTCTACACTAATGAGACAAATAACCATAGCGGTTGAGGCGCCCAGACGCTGACAATCACTGCCAATCAATGAAAACGTGCACTACACTTACGGGACTAATACATTTAGCCGTTGACGCGCCGCAATCAATCAATCCATCAATCGCCGGAATAGCGGCGTGAACTCAGAGCGGCATGAAAGGGAAGGAAACAGATAGAAAAGTATAGAAATAGGAAAAAATAAGAATAAAAAAGTATTCTCAGCCGGGGGAGGTTTTTATTGCAAGCTACGTCGCATTTCAGTTATTTATGCCCTTCACATTACGACGGAAACTGGAACTTTACAGTTCACTGAGCCTTAATGAATTCTCATGTTGACTTATGAGCGGTGTTATATCCCCTAAGGTGGCGGTGTTCCTCGCAGCTAGAATGTGAGGTTCAGCCCCGACCTACACGTCACATTGCAAGGTTTCCTTCCTCATGTTATCTTCGCCAGAGGTTCCAGCCGGAACAATCTCTCGAGTTCTCGAAGTGTAGTGAATGGTGAGTGTGTGTGTGTGTGTGTGTGTGTGTGTGTGTGTGTGTGTGTGTGTGTGTTTATGAACAAGAAGAGAGGGAATGAGGATCGAGCGCTGTTGTTACACCGTTTGTTAAAGTATTGCTCCAGTATTCGCCTGAAAGATTTGCTTCGATCAGTGAAGCCACAGAAAACTACCGATCAGAGAGCGACCGGCCTCTAGGATAGTCCTGCAGACTGCGGTTAGCTATTGCGCGCAGTGCGGAAAATGCTCCACGGCTGGGACTCGTGCCCTGGCACCTCCCGTGCAGCAACGCTGTAGCGGCAACAACTGTTCCCCTAAGCCAGCTGGGTCATTTGGGAAGACGTAACAGGTTACAGTTAACCGTATGTTACTAACACAACCTCATTAATCATGCTAATTGTATTAATTTTACCAAAAATTGTTCGTTTTCCCCCTTTTGTGTACGGTAACTTTCTTCGAATTCGTGAAGTAATAATTGCTTTACTCCTTTGTTGGATACCCTTTCGGCAGATTCACACCTTCTTTACTTTTTCTGTTCTTGTTTTAAACATTTCGGAGCACAAAATCAAGTTTATGGAGGGTCGCTGGTGTGGCAGGTTAATAATTTGGCAGCTGTATTTCTTCATTGTTGGTTGCAATATTAAATTGAAAAGAAAAGAAATGCGATATTGAATGAAAAAAAAAAGTACGTCACATGGAAGCGATACATTACTCGTATCGAAATACTGGCGTTGACTCTTACGTTGCCTTGCACATCTCAGCTCGTAATGTAAAATTTTCCGTAAAATACTACTGAATAAGGGTCTATTTAATGGGGTTTACTGTTGGATACTGTGAAAAGTGAGTTATCTAATGGAAATACTGGAATAATTACTGAAAAATACTGAAATAATTACTGGAAAAATGGTGGCATGAGAGGTAGGTGCAACGGGGGCACCCTGAGAAAACGTTCCGAGAGCTCGCTTTGTCTATCGTAAATTGCACACGGATTGGTCGGGGATCCATGTCCCTGCGCAGCTTTGGAAGGATTTTTACTCCTTAAGGAAGATATTTACTCGTTAAGATGAACAATCAAATTTTCATTATCGAAGTGTCCAGCGATAGTTCGAAGAAATTGAGAAAACAAATACATTTACGATGAGAAGAAAATGTTCCTTTTCGTCCGGCAAAATTAAAAATAACACAGTAGTCATTTTCGATGTCTTTTGTGTAAACAACGACATCAGTCCTCAAACTCCAACTGACATGTTTTACGACTGTGCAAGGGAATTTCGTGAGCTTCTATTTAATTCTACCGCCGTTTGACACTTACCGGAACGATAAGAATATCCGAGCGCAAATAGAGGGTCTATCTCGGCATCAAAGGGGCTGTGTAAAACTAAATTGAATCAGATAACCGTCAGCGAACTAGACATCTGAAAGCGTCGTCTGAAATTTGGAACGTCGACAATTTCTGTCATTTCACTCGATTGCCACTTTCGACAGGTACAATGAATGAATAACTTACGTACACCGTTTTCTGATCTTCACAATGTAGAAAAGAGAAATATTTTGGTCAATGGTCGACCTTCTCTTATGTCAACATACGTACACGAGTACGGTTGTTCTTCGTCCTGGCGAGGAAAATGCAAGAAAATTCAAACCTTCATGGTATGATTTACAGAGAAGGTAGTGAAGTTAAAGCTGTGCTTTATTGCCTTTTATTGTAAAATCAGGAGACTACTTGGAATAGAGATGGATATTTTCACATGAAAAAAAATATCAAAAACCATACAAAAGCATGAAACGTGAAATATCACATAAGTAATTAAGAGAATCTTTAACGCCTGGGGAAAAAATTCAATCCGATTACTGAATTATTGTCAGACCAACACAAACTCGCAACACACTTAAAATCTGAATATCTTGAAATCACGTCTGCGCGTGCTTCATGGAAGTAATGCTTTGGAATGTAACAATGTCAGTGAGACAGTTGTTTTGAATAAGTTGGATAAAATTACAAAAAAAAATAAAAAATAAATGATGAATTGAGATGTGACATGGCTTGGCGGGATCCACCGCTGTTCTGTTAGATGTTTTGTCTACCCTGAACATTTGTTTACGAGCCGCCATTGACCGATACTCTTAGATATCCGCCCGATCTCAGGTTCCAGCGTGGGAGGAACATTGCCACCTCTAAGAAAATAATTTACACTGTTCTTACGACACTCATGACCACTGGTGGAAACCCATGCGAATAAATCTGAGGAGGAGCTTAAAGCTGAATTGAATTTTACTTCCCAAGGTATTTATTTATCATATTCATCGATTCAGATAGGGAAAAATAATGAATTCTGCCTAAAGCGTATCACATCCCTGGATTGTCCTGTTTTTTGCCGAACTGCCCAAATCCACTCTGTTCCTTTTCACCCTCTTCGCGCTGTGGTGCCTCGTCTGACGCCGCTCCTGCCCGCAATACCCTGCGATCTTCACTACGGTCACCGTTGTCGTCATTCTGAACATTTCATAACAAATCAGAAGTGTAATGGAATCGCACATTGAAAAACGCGAAAGCAACTTCAAACTCCACTCGACTGCACATCTAACAGTGCACACAACAGATACGCTGCGTCTTCACTCCCATGGCTTCGCCAGAACTGGTTTCTTATGCCTCCGCCTTGTTATGGTGGATGTGGATATTTCAGAAGCATCTTTTTAATGATTTTAATATTTATATAATAGATAGTGTTACTCGTGCAGTCATCGTGGACTACAAGCAACACCTTATTTCATGTGATATATTGAGTGCTTCTTTCGGAGAAGATGGGTTTACAAAACACGTTTTAGGCCTAATGTACAATAAGATGATGGTATATATATATATATATATATATATATATATATATATATATATATATATATGATGGTATTTGACGCACCTAGAAACACTAAATAATCAATGAACCAAATGATGGATTGTTTGGCGATTCCGGGCGCGTCAACTGTTAAGGTGAAGTCCCACTGTTGAGGTAATCCCGTAAGTGAAGTGAATAATCCTTTCGGGAGGTGGAGTGATCTTACCCTCGCTGGCTGGCGAAATCCGGTCCCGACCTAAGTCGGCTTATGGGGATTTCCCGAAAGCAAGTGTCTCCCACCAGCGGAGATCCGCTCCCGCTGGACTCTAAGCTCCTGACGTGTGATAGTGTAGTGCACGTGAGTGTAAATGTGTAAAGTAAGGGGTGAGAATAGGACAGGGAAGAAGACTGAAAATCATGCGCGATCCGAGGGTATTGCTCAAGCATTTGCCTGAAAGGGATGGGGTAAAATCACGGAAAAGTACCGATCAGAGCAGCCGGCCGCTAGAATTCTCCTCCAGAAAACGGCCGCATTCGACCAAGCTGACCAGCTACCGCATGTCGGGAATCTACAGCCTGACCGCATGACAGAAATCCTACCGCATGCCGGAAATCTACAGCCTGACCGCATGACAGAAATCCTACCGCAAGTCGGGAATCTACAGCCTGACCGCATGACAGAAATCCTACCGCATGTCGGGAATCTCCAGCCTAGGTTCTCCCGGTCAGAGTTTCCATTTGATTCCCGGTTCAATCGACCGACTGTAACGCGTGTGGCTGCGCAGGCACAACGACCTGGCGAACAACCTGCGCGTGCTGGTGCGCAACCGCCTGGCGCAGGCGCCGCTGGAGCGCAACCTGAGCGGCGACGCCGTGTGGGGCTGCGCCGACTGCCACACCGACCTCCCGCGCCTGCGCGCCGGCCGCGTCGCCGCCCAGGTACCCTCTTCTCCTTACTTACTCTCACCCATTTCGATGCTGGAGTGTAAATAAATGCATTGTATTTTGTATTTTTTTAAAAATGTTTTTAAAATATCTCTTGGGGTTTCAGTTTAACATTATCGAAACAAAAAATGTTATATATATACACACATAAATATGTGTGTGTGCGCGCGCGTGTGTGTGCGCGCGTGTGTGTGTGCGCGCGTGTGTGTGTGCGCGCGTGTG